AAGTTGCACACATATGTGTTTTAAAAAAAAGTATAAGCTAGGTGTGTGTGTGTGTGTGTGCGTCTGTGTGTGTGTGTGTGTGTTTAGGGTAAATTACCTGAAGTAGAGAGAGAGAGAGAGAGAGAGAGAGAGAGAGAGAGAGAGAGAGAGAGAGAGATGAGCCACCTGGCCTGCCCTAATCTCCTGCCCTGGGCCTGAGGCTCTGACACAATCTGTAAACCAATTTTCTGAAGAATAAATATTTGTTAAGAAATTGGTTTAAAGTTTTTAAGTATTTTACACTCTTTTAATATAACACATCTCAGAGCTGATAAACATGTCCTCATCATGTATAAACCCACCATAACAACAACGACAATAATAATAATAATAATAATAATAATAATAATAATATAATGGTCAATAATAACAATTAAAAACCAATACCACCAATACCAACAATAATAAATTAATACTAAGTCATTGGTTAGTGATGATTATGAGGGGTTATGTACAGGCGTTAAGGAGTTGCTGAATTAATACATATAATAGGTTCTGAACGCACCTTAACCAAACTTAACCTAATCCATCCTGACAAAGAAAAAAAAAACCCCCTATCCAATCCAGGTTACTTTACAGTGTAAGACAATAACTAGAGGAACTGTGATTGTTGGGAGCGAATATTTGAGCTTAACATTCCCTGTTGTAAAATAACCCAAATGGAGGAGCGTCTTTATTCAAATTATTCATCTAGTTTTCAGTGAACTCTGTAAGTAGAAAATAAATCAATTTATTGGTTAAAATGTCGCAAAGTTCCCATTGGTTTAAAGGATTTTTATAATAGACACTACCTCAAAAGGCTTGGGCAACAGTTCTCGTTTAAACGTGTCTTATTAGGTTTGCAGTGCCTGGTGGCTGTTGGAGGGTGGCTGTTGGAGGGTGGCTGTTGGAGGTGTCTGTTGGGAGGGTGCATGTTGAGGTGTCTCCCAAGGGAGGCGGCCTGTTGAGGGGTGTCTCAAGGAGGTGTCTCAGCGAGGCAATGTTGGAGGGTGGCTGCTGTGAGGTGCCCAAAGCGAGGGTGTCTGTTGGAGGGTGTCTGTTGGAAGGTGTCTGTTGGAGGGTGGCTGTTGGAGGTGCTCCGAGGGTGTCTGCTGGAGGCTGCCGGGAGGTGGCTGTTGGAGGGTGTCTGCTTGAGGTGCTCCTGCTTGAGGTGCCCGCCTTGAGGGTGGGTCTGCTCGAGGCGGCCGGTTGGAGGCAATGTTGAGGTGTCTGCCGGGAGTGCAAGTGTCTGCCGGAGGTCTAAGCCGGGAGGTGTCTGTTGAGGGTGGCTGCTGAGGCATGCCGGTGGTCCTGCTGGAGGGTGTCCGCGAGGCCCGTTGAGGGTGCTCCTGGATGTCTTTTGTGGGTCTCTACAGGGCAACTGCCGGCGTGTCTGCTAGAGGCATTCCATGTTGGTAAAATTGCTGGAGGCCTGCCGAGGCGTCTAAGGAGGTGTCTGGTGGAGGGTGTCTGTCGGAGGTGCCTGCCAGGGTGCCCCACGGGAGGTGTCTTGCCGGGAGGAAAACTGCGAGGCAACATGAGGGTGTCTGTTGAGGGTGTCTGTTGGTGGGTGTCTTGCAAGAGGCATCTGCTGCGTGGGTCTGCTGGAGGAAAACTGCCGGCGTCTGCCAGGGTGCCGGGAGGCACTGACTGATGCACTGGTGCCCCAGGAGGTCTTCTGTGAGGGCAACCTGCTGGAGGGTGTCTTGGAGGGTGTCTGGAGGGTTCGTTTGTGCGGTCTCTGTTGGAGGGTTCTGCTGGAGGGTCTCTGTTGGAGGTGCCTGTCGGAGGGTTCCCTGTTGAGGGTCTCTGTTGGAGGGTTCAGAGGGCGTCTGGCGGAGGCGTCTGCTGGAGGTGCCCTGCTGGAGGGTCTCTGTTAAAAAGTGCCCTGTTGAGGGTTCAAGCACTGAGTCGTCCCTGCTTGAGGGTCTCTGCTGGAGGCAACTGGGTGAAGGCAACCAAGCCGGAGGGTGCCTGCTGAGGGTGTCTGCTGGAGGGTCCCTGTTGGAGGTGCTGTGTTGGAGGGTTTCTGTTGGAGGGTTCCTGCTCGAGGATGCCTGCTGGAGGGTCTCTGCTGGAGTGCCTGCTGCAGCGTCCCTGCCGAGCAGTCTGTTGGAGGATGCCTGCTGGATGGTGGGTCTTGCTGGAGGGGGTCTGTTCGAGGTGCTCAAGGTGGGTCCCTGTTGGATGGTGTCTGTTGAAGGGTTCCCTGTTGGAGGGTGTCTGGTGGAGTGGCAAGCTGAGAGTGTCTGCGAGGCGTCTGCTACAGTGTGTCTGCTGAGGCCTGTTGACGACACCTTTGGAGGTCTCGTTGAGGAAGTGTCTTCACGAGGTCTGCTGGAGGGTGTCTGCTGGGGAGGTGTCTGCTGAGGGCGTCTGTTGGTGGGTCTCAGCCGAGTGCCCTGCTGGTGGTCTCTGTTGGATGGGTGTCTGCTGTGTTCTCGGCTGAGTGCCATTGCCGGAGATGTCCGGTGACAGTCCCTGTTGGAAGTGCACAGTGTCTGCCCGAGGTGCCTGTTGGTGGTTCCCTCTATGGAGGCCTGCTGAGGAAGTCTCTTGATGGTGGGTCCTGCTGGAGGGCGTCTGTCGAGGGTGCCTGTTGGGACGGTTCTGCCGGAGGCCCGTTACCGGTGGTCTAAGCGGAGGGTGTCTGTCTGGTGGGTCTCTCTGCTGGAGGGTGTCTGTTGGAGGTGCCTGCAGGTGTCTGCTGGAGGGTGTCTGCTGCGAGGGCTGCTGACTGGTGGAGGGTGCCTGCTGGAGGCCTGCCGGAGGGCTCTGCTGGTGTTCTCCTTGGCGGTATCTGCCAGGGGTGTCTGCTGGAGGGTGTCTGCTGAGGAAGTCCTGCCGGAGGGGTGTCTGAGGGTGCTCCTGTTAGACAGTTCTTTTTGCGTCCCTCAAGGGAGGCTTCAAGCCGGGAGGCGTCTTGTGAAAGTCTGGTGAGGTGTCTGCTTGGAGCAACTGTCGGTGGGTGTCTGTTGGAGGGTGTCTGGTGGAGGGCAGTCTGCTGAGGCGGCCTGCCGGAGGGTTGTTGGTGTCTGGGTGGAGGGTGTCTGGTGGAGGGTAACCGGTGAGTAAGTGCTCAAGGAGGGGCCCTTGCTGGAGGGTGCCCCATGTTGGGAAGTCGTTGAGGGTACCCATGATCAGCTGCCTTCGGTGGCTCAGAGGTTTTCTGTTGGTGCCCAGTGGAGGCCCAGAGCAAGTCTGCTCCAGGGGCAACACAGGGTCTCAGCGAGGTGCTGCCTGTTGAGGCATGAGGTGTCTGTTCGAGGAACTGCTGGGTGTCTCGTTGGTGCCTGGTGGGGTTCTGTTGAGGTGGCCAAGGAGGCGATGTTCAGTGACGGTGGCCTGTGAGTAAGTGTCGTTCTGAGGGTGTCTGTTAGTGTCTGAGGCATTGCTGGCACTGCCGGAGGTGTCTGGGTGGAGGGCGGTCCTGTCAGAGGCAAGTCTGTCTGAGGCGCCCACAGGTGTCTGTTGAGGGTGTCTGTTGACTGATGGCTTCTTTCAGTGGCCCCTGCCGAGGCTTTCTGCTTGGAGAACAAGTGGAGGAACTGTTGGAGGGTGTTCCTGTTCGAGGGTGCTCTGTGGGTCTTCATGGAGGGGTGTCTGTTGGTGGGTCTCTGTTGGAGGGTGTCTGTTGGTGGGTCTCTGTTGGAGGTTGGCTGTTGGAGGATGTCTAAAAGATGGTGGGGTCTCTTTGTTGAGTGGTGCCTTGCTTCAGGGTGCCTGTTGGTGGGCCTCCCTGCTGGAGGGTACCGTCTATGGGGTGCCCTGCCGGTGGGGTCTTTGCTAGAGGTCTGAGGGTGTCTGTTGGATGGTGTCCAAGCTCTCTCTGGAGGGGTGTCTGCTGGATGTGGCTCAGCTGAGGCGCCCAAGCTGTGGCCCCAAGGGGAGGGTGTCTGTTGGTGTCTTGCTGAAGGTGTCTGTTAAAATGTGACAATTTTTTTTATCGTTCGTTGACTCATCTAGCGCCCTCCACTATACAAGTACCCCGCCTTACACCCAACCAGCTGGCATGTCTCGGCAGTAAACCGTGCAGAAATATTCGCCATGCCTGGTTAGCCAGAGCAGTTAAGACCAACTGCCATGCTAATTGCTGCCGGAATGCAACCTCGCCTGTTTAGTGTGCAACACAGTAAAAGAGCGACATCCCATCACCATTAAGAGTTTTTAAAATGGGCGGTTGGAAGTTGTGTTGTCAGGAACGCGACCATTAGAGGCCCTGATACCACAGTGGTCGACCAGGCCCTCCTATGCCTCCTCGGTGATCACATCATAGAGGTGAGTTACCGGAAGCCAATACAGTAATGTCAATATAGGATGCAGTGAAATGTATGACTCGGTGTTAGCAATTTCTTACGAGGAGATCCTCAGCCAGTCATTGTTGGGAGGCAGGGGACGGTTGTGTGTTGTGGGGAGATATTGCCCCTCCATCACCAGAGCAAGGGCGGGCAGTGGTAAGGTAGTAAGGTACTCTTAAATAGGTTCAACTTTTTCTGCAATGTAACTAAACCAAAAGTACAGAAAGGTTGTGATTCAGGCGTAATGACTGGGAGCTGAACGTGGTAGGCGGGAGGGATGGAGGGTGGGGTCGCTTGGCTAGTGTTCACCGCTCCTGGATGATGTGATTTATTTCTCTCTTGTTTATTCAACATTAATTTGTCACTTTGTGTTTGTTATCAATATTGATGTTTTCATGCTACTAATTTTTAATAAAGAGATGGTTTTGTGTGTGTGTGTGTGTGTGTGTGTGTGTGTGTGTGTGTGAGACGTAATAGCTGACAGACAATAATCTACCTGGAGCGGACACGGTTGGTCATCTGGTTCGGGGACTGGTTTGGTCGCCGTGAGAATAATCATAATGTCTTACCATATCTGGCTGTAGGACCTCAGTAATAACATACAAAGCCCCGACTACTATGTTTGTCTACCAGTGTCAGTCAAGACCAATAATTTCTGTAAATTCTAAAATAGATAAGCTCAAATATTCAGGTGTCATCACGTTAATTTGATGCTAAGTCTCACCAGGCCTCTAAAATAGTCTCTGTAGGCGGCCTATCCTCCGGGAACTATTAAGACTACGAATCTCTTCACCCTCCCGACCTAATGTATGGGGGTATAACGTGATTTCTCTTCATTCGTCCTTCTGTCTGTCTGTCTGCTAGTGATGTATTTGGTTCTACTAGCAGGACCCCGAGACTCAGTGGATTAATTTGTCATTTGGTGTGAAGGTTCCGAGGCTGTGAGAGTGTTTTTATTACAGAGTTATTGTTATTGTATGTGAGGTTCATTCAGGTGGTTACTGCTTAATGATTATTTGTTGATCCACTGGACTTTTGTTCTCCAGGTGGAAGGTGTGAGTATGGTGCTCTGCCTCCATGACCATATGGTGTCCTGGAAAACTTATAACAGATATAAAAATTATTTAGATTTTTAGTGTGAAAATGTTTTAGATAAGGCTAGTCCAGGACCAGGGCGTGCTCTAACCTGCAATTGTAGAGTAATAGCCATTTACGGGAGAGGGAAGGAGGAGGGGCGGGGACGGGGAGAGGGTGCCATTCCAGTGGGTCTTGTTTCTTTTGGGAGGTCGTCTCTCGCTGTTGAAGGTCGTTTATGATGAGGGAGTTAGTTCATGACTGCCGTCCATAACCACAAATACAACCCGCTCATAACCAGGAAAGAATCATCCATCCGTATTTTGTCTAAAGATGGTGATGGTGTAAAATGATGCGTCATCTTCTACATTACACTTGAAAAATTTATCTTTGCATTTTTACCTAATGACCACCAATTAGAGGTGGCCATGCTGAGGAAGGGGGCCAGTGGCCCGCGTGGGATCCCCCATTGTGCTGATAATTTTTTCTTATGTCTTTGAAGTCAGTACTGTTGTCGATTCCACAGGTTGGTCATCTATGTGATATTTCTTTATTTTCGTTCCTCATGATAACTTAGCTGGCTTATAGTTTTGTCTCTCGTGTTGGTAGTGCGTGACATCACGATAATGGAGTTCATATTTTCTTTTCAAAATTTTAATGTTTCAGTAAGATCTGCCCAATTGTGTTTTTGTGTGAAGGGTTGATTAGTCCTAAGGCCTTCCAGCCTATTTGGATAATCGAGATGACATAGTTGCAATCATCTTTGTCGCTCTGTATCGGACCTTTTTCTATGGATGTTAGAGTCTTTCTGGAGGTAGGGTTCTCATAACTATATACAGTAATCCAGACTCGGAGGTATTAAGTTGTACAGTTGAAGGAGCATTTTCCTCTCTCTGTTGTCGAGGTACGCTTTATAATTCCTATCTAGGGTTTTCTCACTGCTACCGCCACTTGTTGCCGCCTTCAGTGAGTGATCCTATCACAACACCAGGATCTTATTGACAAAGTATCCGGAAGTGTAAATTAACTGCGGTTGTAATGTTGAAGTGCATTGTTAGTCTCGAGTCCATTTGAATAGCTCGTGCAGAACTTTTGCGGATGCTACTATATATTCGTATGTTTTAGTTGTATTTGAGAATGTAATATCAAACAGTGTGACTGAGACTGATTAATATAATACTACGGTGTTGGTGTGTGGTGTGATACAGGTGTTCAGGACATTATAAGTGTAGTTGGGAGTAGGGAAGATTAGTGCACACAACAGTGCTACAGTATGGCTCCCTCACCCTGTGTGTAATTGTCGCATAATGAGTACTGATGACAGTGTGAGAGATCATTACACCTGTAGCTCAGGTAACTCAGTCAGTTCCTAGTATCTACCTCAATAAGGATATTCTCAGTCGTCACCACTTGACTGAACTAATAAACTTTGTATTATGTTTGCCTCCATGATTCACCTGTTGCTTCAGGTACAACACACCTGCATTATACAGTTTACGTTGTGGTCACCGTAATTTATCCTCTGTTTGAGTGTTGAGTACAAGGTCGTGTTTGTGTTGGTGGTGACGTTCATGCTGGATGAGTATTACATCACCAGTTGTTATTATTAGTTTCTGAAGCCATATCGACATTTCAACATTTGAGACAATATCAAATGTATACTCTGATATACTGTAAAGTGACTTGTTTATCCTTCTATATTTGTACTCCAGCTGAATAAATTGTTGTGTTGGTCAGCAGTGTTTGTGTAATGTGAGGCAGTGATCAGGTCACATTATATATATATATATATATATATATATATATATATATATATATATATATATATATATATATATATATATATATATATATATATATATATATACGCTGGAAGCTCGCCAGGAGACGTGGGCAGGGCTGAAAGACAGTCCCAGGCTCTTTAACGAACGTCTTGTGGGGTCGTTTAGGACAAATAAATGTAAACCACCATATTTAGCCATTAGGGAATATTGTGAGGTCGCCACCACCTATAAATAGAGTTTCGTAATAAAGGCCAGACCTTCCTGCCTCCTCCCACCTGGGTGAAGTGGCACGTCTCTACC